ATGAAAACAAAAGTAAATGGTAGCAAGTAAATTAAGCTCTGAATGAAATATGGATGAAATGATAGCTAAAGGATTCTTCTCCACACATGAAACATATGCATACAAATCGATTTCCAGTTATTTTTCCTATAAACCATGAATGACAATGCCCCAAATTAACTGTGAATAGCACTAATTAACTCTTAGATTTTCCTAAGTTCATTGAATTGGACTCAGCGACACAACCAAATTATTCTTCTCAAGTTCCCTAACTATGAAAAGCATGATAGAGATACATCTCAAAGACCATTAAGTTCTGTGAAAATCATAAGCATTGATAAAGTATTCGTAACTATGAAAAGCATGATACTCCTGCCAAGAATTTACTTAACTCAATCATGACTAGTGACTTTTACTACTTGCAAATATAAGTTCATAACGATTAGGTGAAATTCCCTTATATTCTAGCATCAAATCCCTGCTTGCAAACTAAGTGTGCACCCTTAATAAACATACAATAATAAGTTCTCTATAAAGCAGATAAGTAAATCGCCTTCATGTTTTATGAAACAATAACTGGATGTAATCAATTTATATAAAACATATGATCATGGCTTCGAATTCACCTCTAGCTAAAAAGAAACTTAGTTACACATGTTCATCATAACTGAAAAGCAATGTAAAATAAAAATTGAAACTTAAAACAAAGAGAGAAAGAACTCTGAAAATTCCAGCAACTTCAATTGATGAATGGTAGGCGCGGCACTTTCTAAATCGCTGCAGGAATTTCATATATATATATAGGAGGAAACGGCTGAATCCAAGTAGGAAAAGGTTTTGGCATTTTGAATTATTTTAGGAATCTAAAAATCAGGTGGAGAGTGTTGGAATGTGATTAGGATTCATCCTTGCAGCTGGAGATAAAATAAGATAAGGTTGGATAAGATAATGTTCCTCCCCAACTAGGATTCCTCTTTCTTGTGTAATTCCTTGCCTTCCAAGCTTCAACTTTAATTTCTCCAGATTTTAGCACATATCTAACACCATTTAAACACCAAAAACGTCCAGCCCATTTGCTATCCACGCATGTTATCCAATCCAAGTCCAAAATTACTCCAAATTGCTCCATTTGGCTATTTATTGTCATCTTTACCAACTGGACCTACAATAATACGAAAATAACTTAAATTACCAAAATAAATGGAAATTAACTAAGTAAATGCAAAGAAATAAGATAACAAAGTCGCATAAAAATGCTCCTATCAGTAGGTTGGAGGAAGGGGAGGTTCTAATGTCGAAGGCGGATTTTAGAAGCTTCTGGAGGAATTTTTGGTGGAAGGAGGGATTGAGTGTGGTGGGTATGGGGTTGTGCATGTGGGGAGAGAGTTTGGGAAGTTTAGTGAGTTTGGGAGAAGAGGAGGCGGCTAGGTGGGAGGAGAGGAGGGAGCGCTTGGTGGGGGAGAAGGCGACTATGGTGGTGATTTTGGGAGGTGAGGTGGGGTGGATGAAGAAGATAGGTGGGTTTGTCGAACCCTAACATGTTGGATGGAGAAAATAGAAAATGCTGAGTGGGTTTTCGCAATAATTCATTTATATGGGAGGATAATTTGGTAATTTTAAGTTATAGGAAAATCATATTTATGTCATTGTTGTGCATTTTATGTACATATTCAGAAAACCTATTTTGGTCCCAAGATTAACAAATGAGTCATTTTTGTCAATTTCCCTTATTGTTGTTATCATATAGGATTCACTTTGATCTAAAATAAACATCAATTATTTTTGGAACTTTATATTCTAGGATGTTGGACCTAAATTGCAATTGAAGGTAGAAGCAGCAATGTCAAAATTAATGCTAAAAACATTGTTGCCAAGAGAAATGTTAAGGAGACTCTCAAAAGTAAGACTTTCCATGAACTTTTTAACACCTCATGTTTTTTTCACAATGTTTTATAATATTGACACGAAAATTAATGTTAACTAAGTGGCAAACAATCCATGAAAAGTCCTATTTTAAGATTCTTATTATCATTTCTCTTCTTAATGCCAATCCAGGCACCTAAAAAGACTGTCTCACTACTGCTAGACTTTGGAGATAGGGAGTGGATGATGGCTAAGTGGCAGACTTATTTTACCTTTATTTTGTAATGAATATGAAAAAGTCTCCCTTTTTCTCTTTCTAAAATTCTCTCTGTGAAAGACAATCCCAGGAATTTTTGCCGCCGGCCCTAGCGTTTGGCTTAGGTGCCGGAGGCATCCACCATTCCTCATTTCCTTCCTTCCTTCCTTACTTATTTTCCTCTCTCTTCTCTGTTTCCTCTCTCTTCTCTGTTTCCTCCTGAGTTTTCTCTTTCCTTTGCCCTCTCCTTCTTTTCCTCCCCTCTCATCTCCTCTGCTCATCCCCTCTCCCTACTTCCCTCCTCCTCTTCCTTCACCTTTTCTAGTTTTGTCCCTTCCTTTTTAATTCTCGATTCTTCCTTGAGTTTAATCTCAGTTTTCCTTGAGCCGAGTCTCAACTATCATGGGCTTCATGCCCCTTATCTGGCGTTTTTTGCCAGCTTTTACTGCTTTCTCTTTAATTTCCCTTCCTCCCTCCTCCCTAGCTGTGTTACTTCATCCCCATCCCACCATGTGATCGAAATCAGAAATTGGATATTAGATCTGCTTCCCTCCCTCACTTCCCCCCAACCAGCATATCGAATCCCCAATGAGGCCAAGTGTGGGTATTTTACATACCTCTTTGGCCGCACCTTCTTCCCATATGTTACTTTGTATATATTTGCAGGGGTTCGTGAAAGGGATTTGGATCTGGTGTCTACTTTCTTGGTTCTGAGTTTGGCCTCTGATAGGGATTTTACTACACATGTGAACGGGCTAAAACTTCTATTATACTTGCAAGAATCACAAGGTTGTTCTAGTATAAACAAATATCGCAAGGTCGTTCTCCACAGGGATTATTAAATAATTCAAAGCAAACCAAATTCCAATTAATTATTATAAAGTAGAAATTGAGATGATTGATTTTATAACCAACTTAAATTAAAAACGAATTTAATTAATAAAAATAAGACACTCTACAATATTAAAACTAGAGGGAAAAGAAAACAGTTTTGGAAGAAATCAAATTAAGAAAGCACTAGGGTTCCATCATCACCTAGCAATCCTATGAATTTTTACCAATTACTTATGATCTACACATGCCACTTTGAAGGTTAGGTTTTCCTAATTTATATTGTACTTGGAACCTCCAACATAGAACATATATCTAACTTGCAACCCGTCCGGACGTTCGGATCAAATTTGAACATGAAAGACTCATTATGCTTTATGAAAATCCTTTGAAAAACCATGCAACCCTTAAGACGTCGTGTTCATCCTAAGTGAAATTACAATTATTAATCACAAGAAGCCAGCATCAATTTCAGGGAACCTTCCGACCAAAATTTCATCAAATTACTTTTCTAAAGATCCTAATGGTGATCAGGCATTAAGACAATTAGATAGTTTTTATCCCGGTAATTAACAATTCAAAGTATGCATGCAATCAATCATAAGCAATTAAATAAAAATCACATATTCATGCTAAGGCTCAAAGCCTCGCCCTAGCAAAAGAAATTAGTTACGCATATTCATAATTAAAATCATAGAAAAATATTATTAAGAAAATGATTGAAAGCACCTTCAAGTAGAAAATCTCCAAAACCCTAGCAATTCTCTCTGTCTCCAAAATTGCATAAAATAAAACGTAGTAAAAAACTGTAGACGGCCAAGCAATAAATCTGCTAAGCCCCCCCCCCACACAAACCCTAAAAACAGGTCCTTTATTCCCACTAAGAAACTAAAAATAATAATCAAATAAAATAGGAAATATAACCCTAAATTAAATGGTAAAATTCGCCTAAAATCTGAACAGCCATGTTTTGGACCCATAAGCTGCTCCAAAACTGGCCCAATATAGCTGGATTTAATGTTTGGAATATTCTGAACACTTCTCCAGAAGGCCACGAATCCAGGTCATCTTGGGCTCCAAAAATGCAATTTAAGCCCAGAAACGTCATTTTCTAGCACTGCACATCGCTCCTTTATTTTATCGTCAGAAAATAACCACTTGGTGGAAAAATCCCAAAGTTTGATACGATCAAGCTAAGTGACTCACAAACGTCCTTCAACTAGAATTACTCCAAAATTCGTCCATTTGATCATGTTTTGCTCTAGAGGAAGTCAAAAATCCTATATTGAAAATACAATTCAAAGTATCAAAATTCTTCCAAAATATACTAAGATTAGGGTAAAATATATAATATAAAATCTACTCATCAGCCTCCTTCGAGGATGTGATACTAGCGGCGATGCGGTCTTTGCTGCTAGAGATTAGGGTTTTTTATTGTTTGTTTTATGTGGCCTTTGAGCCTAAGCTTGTGTGGGTCTTCTATTGTATCTTGGGTTGTTGCTCTCATTTTGCTTGGGCCTTATACTTTCTCTGTAGTTGTTTACCCAGTTCTTTTTTGGCCTTGTAGTACTTTTTATTGTAATGAAAGTTGTCTTCATGATAAAAAAAAATAAATAAATAAAAAGTTCAATGAATAATAAAGCCTATCCACAAAGTTAAATCTTTTTTTTTTTTGTCAAACGATAAACTTGTTAGATTAGATGCTAGATTAGAGAACTAACGAGGTTCGAACTCATGTCGTAGTGCAAATACAACACTCCTAACTACCGTTATGATAGAGGGCCACTTGCACAAAGATAATCTACTTCTTACAATTCTATTTATTTTTGCTTATCTATTCTCTACAGCCAACCTATAGCATCTTAATTTTATAAAGTTAATACTTTGATTCTTTTTGTTGGAATTCTCCTTCGGAAGTAAAGAAAAATATCCATTGATCAATACTTATCCACAAGATTGTCGGAAGAGGAATTAATTCGAAATTCTTGGACTCCTTCCACTGTTGGGAAATGAAATACATCATGACTAAAATCCAAAAGTTTCTAAAACCATAAATAAATAAAGGCAGAAAAAGTCTTACGAAGTAATCCTACTCAATTTTGGAAACGGATTCCCACTACAAATCCTACGCGAACCATCGCCCTTGTATTATATAAATCGCACAGGCCATACAAGCTTTTGTATTACAAACTCAACAAAGTGTGGTGCTAAATTTACCCAGGAGGAAGCCTTTTGTATTACAAACTCAAGAAACTGTGCTGCTAAATTTACCCAGGAAGAAGCTTGGTTTTTGAGTTCGATCGCCGGAAGAAGAAGAGAAGAAGAATCACGGTTACTTGAAAAACAAGAAAACAAGGAGAAGGAGCAATAAGGAATCGATATGGAGTCGCAAAAGAAGATGACAGAGCGTCCCTGCTGCGCAAACGGTTGCGACTTCTACGGCTCTGTGGAGACCAAGAACCTGTGCTCGCGATGCTACAGAGATTACCTGAAACAAGAGTCCCGAGAGAATATGAGGGCAGAGTCCGCCATGGTGGCTTTAATGAATAACCTTGATAGGGGTTCCGTCGCTGGGCGAATAAATCCCTTGCCTTCTTTGAAAGCATCAAACTCGGTTTCTCCCTCTGTCGCTGTTGCTGGTTGCTCCAAGAGTAGTAGTGGATCAACCTCTGTGAAAAATAGGTGCGAAAGCTGCAACAGAAAGGTTGGAGTGCTTGGCTTTAGCTGCCGGTGTGGTGGTGTGTTCTGTGGGACGCATCGCTACCCAGAAAAACACTGTTGCCATGTAGATTTCAAGATGGCTGGACGAGACGTTTTGGCCAAGCAAAACCCACTTTGCAAGGGTGACAAGCTAGAATGCAGGATTTAGAGAGAATGAAGTTGTGGTAAAGATTGGCATGGCTGAATTTGTTTGTACTTTTAGATATTTTGTTTGATTTCGGAAATAGATATTTACGTTCTTTCTGTTCGATACCAATACATCTGATCATACAAAGAATTTGAGTGATGTTCTCTTACAAAGAAGCAACCGATGTTTCAAATTTGACCTTATATAGATACGATAACACAAATGCCAGTATACATAAAGCAAGAAAATACCAAACTGTTTCGAGTAATATGGCGGCAAAATTGCAGACTTAATGCACAGCATCGGGTTGCCTTTCTGGTAATGAAGCTTCGAATTCTGGTAAAATCTTGTATGATTCATACAGCCTACTTAAAGTAGGGAACTTGGACTACACCAAAAAAGAATGTAACAAACATTAAGGACCCAAATAAGTAAAATGTTGGTTGATAGTAAAGAAAGTGATGCGAAAGAAAACCAATATATAACCTTTTTCTAAATAACTAAGACATCCACGCATTACTGAACTATTCTTTCAGACGAGGGAATAACTATAGAAACAGTTAAGAGTTGCCCCAAAAGAAAGAAAGTGATGCGAAAGAAAACCAATATGTAACCTTTTTCCAAATAACTAAGACATCCACGTATTACTGGACGATTCTTTTAGAGGAGGGAATAACTACAGAAACAGTTAAGAGTTGCCCCCAAAAGTTTACACACAGCAGAGACATACACACACACACATACAACTCTCAACGTACAAAGTGCGGAGTGAAACTACTGGTACTCAAACCTACAAAATAAAGTTGGCAAATAAAAAGTGGAAAGAGTTTACCATGTTAATATTAAACCTTGTGGTAACTACAGCAATCTGTGGGGCTAAGAACACGTCCGCCTGCAAATAAACCCCTTTAATTGGTTAGTTATACTCTAAAGAGGTCAAATGGGTAATAAAACGAGTTCAATTGAGCGATAACGATTCTGTATAAAAAGAGGAAAAGAAAGCAAAGGCTAAAGTCTCTTCAACTCCATGTACATAGACATCCAAGCATCGTGGAGATATCAAATTGACACTATTGATGTTGTCGAACAATGTATTGGGTTAGAAGCAGTTCGCTGGTTCAGATTTGTTCAAATTAATAAGATTGCAGTTAAAGAAATGTAAATAAGAATCACAGCGTTCAGAAAAGAGACCATATACACATCATCTCCTGTGGCGTATCTGCTATCAAAATCCTTCAGCAAAGTCTCGAGAGCTGCATATGAGAAAAGAAATAACATCAATGAATAGAAATCTTTGGTAGTTGCACGTAACGAGATATTAATGAAGGAAGTTGAAGTCCCACTAAAACCAATTAGAAATATGGACAGTAGCACAACTCCTTATAAGCACATGCAACCTTAATTCCCCGATGTGGAGTGATACATTTACATATATATATGTAAAGCTTTAGTACATAGTTTATGACTGAACACTTCCAGACATAAATCAGCCTGGCAAGGTCTACCATATAAGTACTGTAACTAAGAAAGTCAAGCAGAACCCAAATCTAGTGATCCATTTTATACTTGACCGACATGATCATAAGCAATTTTTCATGTCAATTCTTTTGATCTCTCTTTAGTCCATAATTTGCAGTTTGCTATTTGCGAATGGAAAACATAATAACAGATGAACTGCCAATCTGCAAGCGGCCATTCATAGCAGTTGCTATCATATATCACTCTTACAAATCACAGGAACTTACAAGTATAAGCCTTCTCATGCATAGACCACAGAAAAGTATATATGGAATACATTACAATAACAAGGCTACAACATAACGACCACACCCCACATAGTAGTAACAGGTTCACCTAATAAGCATCCCCAATGCAGAGAGTTTATGCTTAAAAACTGAACATGAACATTCAGAAATTCACTCACCAAAGAAACCTTTATCTATATTCGATTGAGCCCAAGACAGGGACTCTTCAGGACCAGACTTCTCCATAAGATACTTCTACAGAAGCAAATGGTACATGATAAATACATATTAAAACAAAATCAATGTCTACATAGCTATGAATGTAAAGCCAAATTTCGTTCTTTGGATAAGGTATAAAGAAACCAAATGTACCAGCACTGATAGCATGTGAAGTGGCTGAATACTTGAGCTGATAATGCTTGCAGCCTGTGACAATATTCACTAATTGGCAAATTAGAAAAAACAATAAGTCCATGACGAAGTCATTCTTAACTTCAACAAAGACTTCACCTCTCTCATTATTTGAACAAGATACGCGACTTACATCAGTTCACGTCACGACATGGTTTAATTGAAGAATATAAAAGGGACAAGCAGAGAATAATTTGCAAACAAAAAATAAAAAGATAAGGTCTTTTAACACTTTGAAATACTTTTTTTCTGAGCCCACTCATAGCTACTTGATTAGCGTTACTGAAAGCCTTCAAGGGCATCTAAAATTAGAAAATTCTTCAGCCTAGGACATAACATGATAAACTCCTTTATGTGGCTGCAACATATGTTGTTATTTCTTCAAATCCTGGATCAACAGCTTAGATTTGTGCACGGTGTAAAGAACAACTATCATTATAAACTAGGCTAGTCAACCTCAGGTGCAGAGTATTCTTAAACCAAATTATTTAAATTTGATATGGACTTCACATTTAGTACAAACATACCTGGAGATTAAGAGCTCTTAGCCGAGGATCAGCTGGCAATAACGGTCTCTGAGGATACTTGTCCTCTAAATACTAATCGGGCATCACAAGAACATATTGTACCCAAATAACAGAACACTTAGAGGCACAAGTAAAACCTTCAAAAACTGTAAACAGATGATCCATTTCCCAACAAATTACACTAACCAGCAGTATCGCAAAGGAGTCTGAAACCACCGTATCCCCATCGACCAACACCGGAACAAAATGAAGAGGATTCAACCGGTTAAACGCTGCAACTCAAGCACATTGGATAAGTATCCAGTATCCACCAACGTAAGCATTGATAGATTTATAGTAATACTAACAATTTGACAACGGATTGTTTGGCAAGAGAATGCGACTGGTAATGAGCGTAATATCTCTTCAAACTCACACTCACCTGGACTGAACTGCTCTCCAGCTGGTAGGTTCACCGGTTTGTACTCGTACGGAAGTCCTACACATTCAATTGAACTAACAACAAATCAAGACCAAGTAAAATCCAACCCTAATAATTTGCACCACACATTTGGTAATTGATTCATCAATCAAAATAACCATCAACCACAAATATTATTGAAATCGAGTGACATTTAAATTCCAATGAATCATAAAACATTCAGGAGCACAAAAAATGCAAAATTTACACTAAAAGTAATCCTTTTCAAAAACCTTTAAGATTGAGAGCGAAGCGGACGCGCCAAGAGCAAGAGCTTTGCCAGTAGGAATAGAGGAGGAGCTTTGAAGCAGCAGGTAGCTGATTGCTGCTGGATTCCATGGCTCTCCGTTGTTCAACACTTTTCTGGTAAGAAGTCAACTTCTAATGGAGTGACTGTTTTTGTTTTCTGATGAGTTGTCGCTGTCGAAATGGCACGCAAAACTTTCATAGGTTGGAAATTAAAATATTATTTTCTTACCCAATGTTATTCTAAATAACTTTTAAATATAAGGAAAAGTAATGAAAAGGGCTTGAAAACTTTGAGTGTTAATGATAAGGACAAAATAAAAGGTAAAGTGAATAGTACCAGAATTGACTTTTTAGTGTAAAAATGTGATTTTTCGTTAAAGTGAACAGTACCGGGAGTTTTTCGTTAAAGTTTCATTTAATATATGTATCGAAATTATTTTTTTTATAAAAGTAATTTTTTTATTTTTTAATTAAAAGTAATTTTAATTATAAAAATAAATAAATAAAACCCTCTAATACAATCAAACAAAAAAACTTCTTGTAATTAATAGCCGGTAAGGACCGATCTCAAATACACGTCTACTATATCAAGTGACCAACATTAGTAACTACATCGACAAGAAATTTGCCTTACAAAAGACATGAGCCTAAGAAATAAAAGAAAAAGAACTGGTCAAAGATCTGATGTCGTCAATGATTGTCCTCAATCGCCAATGTGTGAAACCCTTGACCTTTGCAAATCTCAAAATATCATGAAGAGCAAGAGCTTCAACAAAAAAAATGATACTTTCTCCAAGATTGCAAGCAGCAGCCACAATAGGTGAACCATAGAACCACTACTTATGACAAAACTAGTAGCAGCTTGAGAACCCACAGCAGAGCCATCAAAATTAATTTTGAGTTTAAGAGCATGAGGCAACCTTCACTTGATAGTTTGAGATGAAACATGAGTTTCATTTTGGGTAGGAATTGATCTTAAGTTTTTATTGGCATGGTAATATTGTCTACCCTCTTTCTCTCGCGTGTGATATGACTTCAAAACAAGTAATTTGATGCAGGAATTCACATGTAAGATCAGCATTTTTTGTAACGAAATTTTTATTTGAACTCATTTAACCTCTTTCTACACCCAACTTAAATTTTAAATATGAAATGTCTTTATTATCCTATTGCATTATTATCATCAAGTACACGATGAAGTTGATAATAAAAGTAAAATTTATCAATAAACTCACACTCAATAATCAAACACTAACCATCACGTAATCTTTCTTTGACATTCTATCGTGGCAAAAATCATAATACACATTCATAGAAAAAAAAAAAGGCCATTTTTTATGGATGAATAGTAATTTTGAAGTATTAAATCCTCCAACTTTATTATCGTCATCATGACTACCACCACCATCATCCACCAACCCTACCACCACCATATCTCCAACACTACTCATCAACTGTAGGAAACCTAGTTCTACTTCTGCTGCTACTATTGTTGCCAAAACAACAAGCAACAGCTAATCAAGATCAACGGCAAGAAAAGGTGGAGGAGGAGGAGTGAGAGGGCTGGCATATGCTTTCCCTAGTACTGCTACCTCTTATATATGAGATCAAAACCCTACTTATTGCAAGAGTAGGGTTTCTCTGACAAAAGGTTTATCCAACTCTTTGGCTCAAGGGGAATCAAGCGTTTGGGTCCGATAATTTAGCTACATCAACCCTAGTAAATCCACACATACCTAGCTTGTTTTGAATTTTTGGCTACCAGTAGTTCTGAATCAAGTGTTTTTCTTCACTTTTAATTATCCCTTTTAATTAAGTAATTAAAGTTCTTTTCTTCAATTAACATCTAATTAGTAGTCTTGTTGTGTAGACGCACTGCAAACATGTGAGAGCATCATAATTATTGAACTTCGTTTTATTTTGTTTGTAAGATTTTGTTTGCACACTGTTGAGTGTTTATAATTGATGATATTCTGAAAGAGTTTCCATTTCTCAGTTTCTAACTCCTTGAATGCCTTGCTAGCTATTATTCCCATTACTACAAGTCGGCCTGCAAAACATGTGTGCATGTTGCGAGTTATATATTAGTTAGAGTGTAAATAGTAGTTTGTTGTCCCACATTGGTGAAGTACATATGTAATACCAATTGTAACTCCTATATATACTCCACTTTGGAGATTAATGAATATATAAGAAATTCCCAAATATTGTCATATATAATTTTTGGTATTTACCATGTTTAGTTCAATATGGTATCAGAGCAGTTTGCTCTGGTGACCTGTGTGCTTTAATTTTGTGCCCACATTTTTCGTGATTTCCTTCGTAAAAAAAAAAAAGTGAATAGTGGCGCTACAGTACAGTGCGTCAACAGTGGTCTGCTTTGTGAACAGCATTCCTCTACAGTGTCGTAAACAATGATTGCTACAGTGCCGTGAATAGTGCTCTGCTACATTGCCATGAACAGTGCTCTGCTACAGTATCTGGTAAATTGTTTTCATTCCGCTGCGTATCTTTTGTGCCTTTATTGTTCGTGATTTTTGTTCAATGGCTCAATATAATCATAGTGTTGTTATGCATCTTGGTGGAACAAATAAATGGATAATAGATACTGGGGCCACTGATCATGTGACTAGTGACCCTAGAGTGTTTGATGAGTTATGTGACTATGTTCGTGATCCATATGTTACTAGTGCAAATGGAGCACATTCCCCTGTGAAGAGTGAAGTCACTATCTCTCTGACTCCAACCTTATCGTTGGTCTGTGCTTTACTTGTTCCTGATCTTAAGTGCAATCTTTTGTCGGTAGGAAAACTTCTTGATACCTTATATTGTTCTGCTCACTTCTACCCTACGTATTGTTATTTTCAAGATATTCAAACTCAGAAGATAATTGGCCATGGTAAAAGAATAGGGGTTTGTACATCTTGACTATGGAGGATACTGTTGTTTCTGGTTCAAATAATCATCAAGTTTTAAGTGCTAAAGTGGATGACAGACATCAAATTTGGTTGTGGCATCGATGATTGGGACATCCATCATTCAGTTATATGAAACATCTATTTCCTTCTTTGTTTCGCACTTGTAGTGATTCAGAGTTCAAGTGTGAAACATGTGTCATGGCTAAGAGTCATCGTGCTTCATTTCCTGTAAGTGATTCTAAAGCTACTTTGTCATTTGATTTGATACATTCTGATGTGTGGGGTCCAGCGAAAGTTACTTCTAATGGATTTCGTTGGTTTGTTACTTTTATTGATGATTGTACTCGGTTAACTTGGGTGTTCTTGATGAAGAATAAGAGTGATGTTCCGTTACTTCTTCAAGAATTTTGTACAATGGTGTCTACTCAGTTTCAGACCAAAGTTAAGGTCTTCAGGTTTGATAACGGGGGAGAATATGTGAATCACACTTTGACATGTTTTTTTTCGTGATCATGGTATTATTCACCAGACGACTACTTCGTTTACACCCCAACAAAATGGTGTGTCCTAACAGAAAAATAGTCAAATAATGGAAGTTGCTCGCTCCTTGATGTTGGATAAATGTGTTCCTAATCATTTGCGGGGTCATGCTGTTTTGGCTGCTGTGTATTTGATCAATCGTGTTCCAAGTAGGGTTCTTGATTTTCAAACACCGTTCGATGTGCTACAACAACATGTTTCTCTTGTTTCTGTATCAAAGCTTCCTCCGAAAGTGTTTGGGTGTATTGCGTATGTGCATGTCTACTCATCAGCGGAGTAAACTTGATGCATGAGCTCTCCGGTGTGTCTTTATTGGGTATGCTAACAATCAGAAAGGCTATAAGTGTCATCATCCTCCGACTCAAAAAACTTATATTACCATGGATGTCACCTTCCATGAGGAAGTTTCGTATTCTGTGAAGCCCTCTTCTAACTCTCCACTTCAGGGGGAGAGGGGGAGTGAAGTGCAGATTTGAAGAGATGGTATGGATGATAGGTTACAGGTAGAGTTGGGAACATAACCTATTATGTTGCGTGATACTGATCAGTCGACTACAGATAGTAATCGGTCACCTGTTATTCCTGGAACTATTTCTACTGACGATAGATCAGATGTACCCAGCTAGTTGCCTGTCAGTATGTCTGACGAATTACCTTCTAATGATCAGTTGCCTGCTGCTGATATGTCTAACAAGTTGCCTGATGATGGTTCGTCCAGTGATGATTCTTCTAACAGTTTGGTACAAGATGGTGGCATACATGAGGTAAATTTTGACAATTCTTCTACTTATCAGTTGCCTCCACGAGCTAATCATGGAAAACCTAAAGTACAATATGAGCCTGATATGCATGCCAAAGCCAAATATCCTATCAACAATTATGTGGCTACTCATCATTTATCCAAACCATATGCATCTTACATATGTCAGCTATCTAGTGTATCAATTCCAACAAAATTGCAAGATACCTTGTCTGACCCTAAGTGGTTTAATGCCATGCAAGTTGAGATGGAAGCTTTGGAAAAGAATTCTACCTGGGATTTGGTTCCTTTACCAAACGGAAAAAAAGTCGTTGGATGTAGATGAGTGTTTACTATTAAGCACAAAGCAGATGGTTCTATTGACCAGTATAAAGCTAGATTAGTTGCTAAGGGTTATACTCAAACCTATGGGTGGACTATCAGGAGACATTTGCTCCTATTGCCAAACTTAATACTGTGCGTGTTCTTCTGTCCTTAGCAGCAAACCAGGATTGGCCTCTGTTGCAGTTTAATGTTAAGAATGTTTTCCTTCATGGTGATCTTAAGGAGGAAGTGTATATGGATCTCCCACCTGGTATTGGAACATCTCCTGGAAAATGTGTTGTATGCAGGTTACGAAAGGTCTTGTATGGTTTGAAACAATCTCCTAGAGCGTGGTTTGGGAGGTTTACAAGTTCAATGAAGAAGTTTGGGTATATCCAAAGTCATTCAGATCATACTTTGTTTCTAAAGCGACAAAATGGTAAGCTAACTGCATTGATTATTTATGTTGATGACATGATAGTGACTGGTGATGATCAGAAGGAGATACAACATCTTCAAAAGTACCTAGCTACTGAGTTTGAGATGAAAGAATTGGGTGAATTGAAGTATTTTCTTGGAATCGAGGTTGCACGATCCAAGTATGGTATTTTTCTGTCTCAACGGAAATATGTTCT